ATTGGAGCAGATCAGTGTATTGGAGCAGATCAGTGTATTGGAGCAGATCAATGTATTGGAGCAGATCAATGTATTGGAGCAGACAGGAGGTGTGCCCTGGAGCAGAGAGGGTGCTGGCAACTTTTAAATCATATTTTTCTTGGCGTTACAGGGAGAGTTCACTCTGCTGCTGCCAGCCGTTATAAAATCAGAATAATGTTTTTCCTGCACATCGTTCCATCATTTTTAATCCTTTTCGAGTCAACAAGTGCTCATGGCTATAAATAGGAAAGTATCTATACAGAAGATGTGAGATCACGTCTGAGCTGGGTGTTCATATGTATTTATTTCTCCTGAGGATGTGGATCTGTGAGCAGCTGTCAGAGTGAAGCGTGGAGTGGATGTGTGAATTTAAACAGTCACATGTGGTCGTATTACACCTTAAATTAAATGTAGTGGGCAGCTTAGTCATAAGCTGTGCTCCAGCAAAATAATGCTCTGAATACATGAAGACCAAAATGGATCCTTGACAACATATTCCCTAAAATGGTTTGGTTTGCCGCTCGCCAGCTGATCGTGCTGACAGCGGGGTCAGAACGTGATGGAGTATCAATGCATCAGTCAATCAGTGCTGCTCAGTTAGTTCAGAAACCGTGGCCGCCTCATTATTTTTATCTGGTGATAAAGCTTTTGCCTTTAGCTCTGGACACATTGGATGATACTCTCGGGATGTAATCAATAGATGAAGATCTGATTAACATTGGGAGTTTGTGACAGTCAAGGTGGCTGCCCCCGCTAAAGCAACATTAGCAAACACTAAACCTGCCGAAGGTCGTTCACTTTTAACGATGTTCAGGTCACGTTTGGGGTGTTAGAAGATGATGTTGATCCTCAACACATAATGGAAGTCCTAACATGTTGGGCAAGATCTGCTTTTAAAACTTATTTAATGTCTGTTTGTTTGTAAAATATATCATGAACCACTGGACACTGGACATTTAGAATCAACCCAGTGCAGACTGGTCTCCACAGCTAACTGATATTATCAACAGAAATGGTTCTAGCTCAGTTAGTTGTACAGATAATGATCTGACCTTTGTGAGAGTTCATTCAACCTTTATTTAGACAGGTTAATCCCACTGAGCCTCGAGGACCCCAGTTGCTTGTCTTCATCCTCAGGATATTATTTTGTGTGGGTTCCCAGTGACTCTGGAAACCAGGGAAAATCTGGAAAAGGACTTTTACATTTTACAGACAAGGACAACACGTAATTTCAGAGAAAAAAGAGGGAACTTGAACACTGAATAAAATATGATCTTTCTGAGGATTTGATGTCTACATACATTAATGTGTCACTGATTCCATGTTCTGCTTCTACAGTGTACTTAATCGTGCCTCCTTACTGATTGGCTGTGGTGTCCGTTCGTATCGGATGTTCTGCAATATTAGCAATGATTGCTGTATGCAGGCTACACGATACCTATGTATGACTCTGCTCACCACCCATGTTAAGTTCTGAGCGTTCTGTGTGACTGAAATATCTCCTGGAGCTTCAGGAGTTACTCTGGGAAATAGAAGGGAAATCTATTTTCTCATGGTTTTTGTGCCTTTGTAATTCTTTAATTAACCATTATTTTAATGCTCAAGGAGGAACTGCCTGTCATAAACGTGGCAGCAGAAGATATTTTAAAGATTTGCCTGAAGTGTTTTTTTGCCAACCAAGCAGATTATATTTACTTTCCCATGTGATCTCCAGACACTTTCTGGAACTCGTTGTGCAGACATCGTCTTAAAGGTTTGCTGCTAAAATGAGTCAATAGTCCACTTGTTTACCAGGAAAGGATTTTGTTCACTCGTAAACAACAGGAGTTTGTTTCAAACCTATCTGTTGCTAGAAATTCACAATAAACAGCACAAAATGAACGAAACAGTGGAAAAGAGAACAACGCTGCAAACATCACCTCACACATTTGCTTATTGTGAATTCTTCAGACAATTAATATCATCTGCAAATTTGCTGAACGGAAATAAGTTTGCCATTAATCTGAGACTGAGCTCTTTGTTCAGATAATACAGGCGTGATACCCTGACGAGGCGAGCAGTGATCTGCCTTCCAGTCATGTGAGCTGCATCTCATTATGTATTCTTCTCCCTTGCAGGAGGTTTTTCACAGCGGCATAAGCAGAATTCTGGATCGAATACTCGTGCGGTCCGGACGCTACAGGGACGTGGTTTTTGAATGCTGGGACTATGAGCATAAGCGACCAGAGGGGCTGCGTCGCAGACCTGGGAGGCAGCTTCACTGAGGATGCTCCCAGACCTCCAGTCCCTGGAGAAGAAGGAGTGCTGGCGTGCAATGACGGTCGCCAGCACAGCAACCTTGGCTTTTCCTCCAAGAACGAGAGTGCCAAATGTGAAGCGTCAGTGGCTACACTCCGGCGACCGGACTTGGATCTGGGTTATGAACCAGAGGGCAGCGCTTCCCCTACACCACCCTACGTAAAATGGGCCGAGTCTCTTCATTCCCTCCTGGATGATCAGGACGGCATCCATCTGTTCAGGAAGTTCCTGAAGCAGGAGCAATGCGCCGACATGTTAGACTTCTGGTTTGCATGCAGCGGCTTTTGCAAGCTTGAAGCTAACAAGGCTAATGAGGAGAAGAAGCTAAAACTGGCAAAAGCCATCTATAAAAAGTACATTCAGGATAACAACGGGATTGTCTCCAGACAGATCAAACCAGCTACCAAGTCTTTCATTAAAGACTGTGTGATGAAGCTCTACATTGATCCTGCCATGTTCGAACAGGCTCGGACTGAGATACAGACGATGATGGAGGACAACACTTATCCTCTGTTTTTAAAGTCGGACATTTATTTGGAATTCGCACGGACAGGAGACGAGAGCCCTAAGCCGTTCAGGGATCAGAGTCCTGCTTCTGGGGAAGGAAAAGGACTGTCGGGGTTTTTACCAACTTTAAACGAATATGAGGAATGGAGATGTGACCAGGGCCCAGAGGAGCAGCCTGAGTGTGACCTGACACCAAGCAGCCAGCTCACTCAGCAACTGCTAATGGAGACGCAGCGAGTTGGCAAAAGAGCAAGATTTCAGGACAGCCTCGAGTGCAGGTAAATCCTCCCAGGCATCTAAAAAAGAACAACAAAACACCAGACTGTGCAGGGTTTCCCTGCAAACAGCTGAATTAGAAATAACGCTGAAACCTCACATGAGTGTGAGCAGATAGAGCACAGCTGACTGATGGTTTGTGAAGAGGAGAATCTGCACCTCAGGTGGAGAAGAAATGTTAAAGTGGTTACTGGAGGTTGGAGCAGAATTCATTCTTCTTTTGGTGCTGGGTCTCTGAGAATCACGTCTTCCACTGGACACGGTTTAGTAGTGGAATACTTGACCATGACTTTCATCTAAGCTCAACATTGTTTCTTTATTTTTGGTCATTTTTATATTAATGCCAGATCTGTTGATGGCTGTTAGTCAGTTTCATGTGTTTTAGGGATGCACAATATTGGATTTTTGGCCAATAACCGATATTTTATATACTTTCCTCTGTCAGAGCATAGCATCTTATTTAGGCTTATTTGCTACAAAAACTGTGCAACAGCTGTAAGAGCTGGTGACATATATTCAGTAACAGCCGTATGATATGCACAGCATTTTAACTTGTATTAAATGAAAAGTGTTAAATGTTATTTATTAGCATTAGTCACCTGCGATGCTGTCTCACCTGTGGAGGTTTGTTCCAGGTTCCTATAGCTGCAGTGTGGATCCTCTGCACTCCTGTGCATGAAGGACACACTTTGTAAGTTCAAAGTTTTTGTCTGTCCATTGTTCCGTAAGACTAATCATGCTAACGAGGCTAACACGACGTCTAAATGTTTGTGGTAAAACTCACCCAACAAGTCATGCTATCAGCTGTTAGCTTCTCAGTGACGTCGGAAATGACAGCTGGTAACTCGGGTAAGGCTACGTCAGAAAATATCTTGGACTGGGGACGATGTAGCGAGGCTCAACGTACTCCATAAATCTTCAGAAACCAACATCCTCAACAAAAAAACCTTCCACACCGTCGACATTTTCAATTTTCCTCTCCGCCGTGAGATCAGGTAGGCGCACGTGACGTCATGTTGGGCTGGTGCTGCAGACGTCCTTGTCACTAGTTGTCAAACAAAAACAGCGTCTTTTATATCGGTGAGTTGTTTTTATGTAGTGGCCGATGTTCGATATTGAACTTTAACGCTAATATGTTGGTTTATGTTTAATATGTTGGGGAGTGGTGGCGCAGAGGTTAGAGAGGTGGGCTTGTGATCCAAAGATCGCCGGTTCACGCCCCGGCACCGACAACATCAAAATTGTGGGCAGGGGTAGTTGAAACACCCACACCTGCCCCCACCCTCATTCGCCCCACTCTGGGCCCATGAGCAAGGCCCTTAACCCCCACCATTGTGCTCCCTAAAACAGGTCTCTCTTGAAAATGAGTTCTCGTGGCTCAATGAGACTAACCTGGATAAATAAAGGCTAAATTAAAAAAATATATATATGTTGAGGGAGTATCAGAGAAACTGAGACGTTTATTTTCTAAACATAACGTCCCAGTGGCTTTTAAACCCCAAAATACATTAAAGACTGGTTCATCCCAAAGATCCAGTCCCCCGGCACAAACAGAGTAATATTGTGTATGCTGTTCAGTGTCAGGAGGGTGATCATTCTTACATCGGGGAAACTAAACAGCCACTGGCCAAAAGGATGGCCCAGCACAGAAGATCAACATCATCAGGCCAGGACTCTGAGGTCTACACTCATCTCCAGGTCAGAGGTCACTCTTTCAGGGATGAAGATGTTCACATCCTGGACAGAGAGGAACGATGGTTTGAGAGAGGAGTAAAGGAGGCCATCTTTGTGAAAAGAAATCGTCCATCATTAAACAGGGGTGGAGCCTCCAGGTTCAACTGTCCCCCTCTTACAATGCTGTGATTGCTAGTATCACTCAGCCCTCTGTGAACAGTAAACAGCCATCAGGTGCTAATGATCCATTGTTAGGCTGATGGTCCTTCTTGAGCATGTGAGCAGCTGGTTCTGGTTGTCAGCAGCAAAACTGGTTGATCCACTCTGAGAAGGTGCTATTTAAGAGACTGAGCTGAAAACAGCTCCTCAGACTGAGGAAGTCCTCAGGATGAAAGACGAAACGTTTCTACATTTTTTGTTGATTTGTTTTTTGAATGTCAAGAGGACCAGACTCAACTTTTTTTAGAACTAATTATACACTTGCTGTAAATTCTAGCTTCAGTCTTGCATTACTCAATGTTTATTTTTTTTCCACAAAAGATAATTCTGCTAAATGAGTGGAAAACAATTTTTGAATCAAACAAAAGGCTCTTAGGAAATGAAAGTAAGTGGTGGGCACAGGTTTAATCCGCTAATAGCGGATCTAACGTTTCATTTAGCGGATTAGCCTTTTTGCTATCTTTGAAAATCTTTTGTGGAATTAGTTTCTGCTAAATTAAAATCCAATACATTCAAAAATAAATTCAACAATAAAAATAAAAATCCAATAAATTCAAAAGTGCTAATTTGAAATCTTACAGGAGAATGGTGATTTACACTGAGCAATGCTATTCAGCGCTAAGCGCCACCTGGTGACGTCACCATCCATAATATTCCCCCCCATATCTACCTCAAATGGTCTCTGACTCATGGTGTCAGTTTTAAGCCAATAACAGGGACTTTAATAATAATAATAATAATAATTTTATTTAAACTTTAACATAAATACCAAACCAGAACAAGAAAATAACATGAAAATACAATTTTCACACTCAAACATTGTAAACATTGTACACACAATTCCTACCCAGCATGCTTTGCAACGCTCATACTACCTCTGGGACGTGACTCTCACACATTTTACACATCTTTAATACAAACAGATTTATTACTTAGATAATATTAAAGATGATGCACGGCAAATTTGTAGTTGGCTTATAAAAGTAGTTAACCACAAAGATACTAAAGTGAGTTCATTCATTATGACATGAGGGAAACGTCCGACACACATTGAATGCATCATTATAATAAAGGACAGGAAACGTCTGACACACATTGAATGCATCATTATAATAAACGACAGGAGACGTCCGACACACATTGAATGCGTCATAATAAACGAGAGGAG